AACTTAAGACTTTGCCCAACTTTTTTCCCAAATTTTATGCCATTAGCCCTATTTCCAACGTAATGAAAAAATGTCCCATCTATTAATCACATCTCTTATTCATACAATTTTTCAGTAGTGCTCTCAGTTATAAATAGAATGGAGTCACACAATTTCTCTTCTAGTGTCCAGTTGCTATTTACATGATCGTTTTGTATTCAAGGCTTCCTACAATTTCCCTCCTAGCGTCATGTCATACAACATCTCTTGTAGTATATTTATGGTGCTATAAAATAAACAAATAGCTCGGACATAATCATACTTGTCTACAGTATCGCAGCACCATGCACAAGAATGACACCATATGCAGACTCGACTAGAGTTCTTTGTAGTAACATGCTGACATCTAGTGCACCCTCAATGTCAGTGGCTTTGTCTTCCATCCATTTTCCGAACCATTTGATATAAGACAAAGCCACCCAGATACTTGATTGTAACTATGACAGATGTGACAATTGATTCTGTTGAGCCAGACCAGTTTATCAAGATCTAGTAAACTGTGTGTAATGTGACACGCTAAAAAAAAAACAAAAAAAAACACATTTGAACAACTGGTAGTATCTTGATTCATCTCTAAAGCTTTCATCTCGTTTCATAAGAAATGCTTTTGTTAAAGACACAATTATATTTTACAAAGACACTTGTAAGTAGATGGGCAAGGAAACGGCCTCTCATGATTCATGTATATATATACTACACGTCAGTTTGAGCACACTAAGTGTTAGCGTTAAAGAACATAAATGCCTTGTATACGAACGAGCAACTTCAAGATGTTTTCTATAGAACTCATTTCCTACTTCTTCATAAAAATATCTGTAAAATAATATTTTGCTTCCTTCAGTTATTAGCAGTCTAAACCATTATCTTTTTCATTAATATTGCATGGTGTTATTTTTCTCAATAATTATAATACATGCAATGATACAAAATGCCTCCAAAACCTTAGAGAAACACATGAAGTGAGCATTATACAAGTCAGTCTCCAGGAACTTGATTTATAGATCAACACCTGCTATTCCTACTTTCTTTTTGAAGAATTAGAATTTGATCCCCTTTTTTCTGGCAACTTTTTGTGACAATAAAAAGGGGCACCTGCTAGTCCTGTCCTCTGTGTCAAAGCAAATCTATCTCCCCTCCTACCATATCAGAGTGTTATCAGTGCTTGCCCTCTGGACAAGCAGAAGATGATAACCTCCCTTGTAAATATAGTAGCTGCTGTCTGGGACTGGAAGATCAACAAATTCATTCTGACATTAATTTTTTACATGGCTGACTTTTTATATCCTAACCACTCGACATGATTAGACAGTAAGTGATCAGACAGTTGGTATTTTTATTCAAGTTTGTGTATAAATTGGTTAAAAACTTAACCTACATTTAAAGACTTTCATGACCTTTTAATGATTCTGTATGTATAATGATATTGTATGTTGATAAGATTTCTACTTTTCTATTTAATTCATTGTGATTTTATATGTTAACAAAGCTAAGAAATAGATAGCTGATACCTTATGGTCATTTATTTCATTGTATTTCTCCAGAACTCAACTTTATAGTGCTACCCCACAGAAATATCATTCTTTGCTAAACCTGGATATTCCAACACAACATCCAACAGTTTTTTTTTCTATTCAGACATCAAGCACATTCCTGAAATGCTTCAAGTCTTAAAACAGGAAATCTAAATTAATTGAAGTTACTTATGTAAAAAACATATTAATAATCAATTAGATATTTAGGTATCTTCTTCTACCACAAGTCAACTTTATACTGTATACTGACATTTAGACAATTCAGGAGTCTTTAAATTCTAAACCATAAAAAATGTGTGAACCAGAAGGCAAGCACAGATCAATAAAATTACTATCTATATCCTGATATCATTTACACTATTTCATTTTTATTTTATTTTATGGCCTTTCTGCTCTTCAGCAGACAAATCTACCTCATACAATGTGGTTCATCATCAGTGGACAGGAAAATTTGGATAAATAACAATACCTTCTGTCATGGTTTATTATGACTGCCAATTTGAATTGTTATACCTAATCAAGCCTCGTTTATGATCCTAAAATGCACTGCAGAATGTGTACAGCTTAATTGGAATTAAATGGATGTTGGTATTTATTCAATACATACTGAAGTTATAAGCTTTTTTGATAAATATGGAAGTAATTTTCAGATAAAAATAAAACATACATACCGACAAAGAAACACAAATAGGCTGGTTATCAAAATCACAAAACTTCATTATGGAACAGACGCATGCTGATATTACATAGAGTAATAAGTGTAATTATGTCTGTCACTTTCTGACAATTCAATACATTGGCCTAATTATCAGCTGTAAGCCAGCAGTCTATTACAGCTTTCTGGATAGGAACTCATTACAACACCTTACATAGTAACATAAACCTATTCACAGCCTTTTAATAACATCAAACTAAATCACCTGGCTTCAATTAACAAAATAAATTGATTTATAATTTCTTCACTCAATAAAATTATCTTTATACAACTCTAGTTAGCTTCAAGGCAAATTAACGGAAAACTCTTAACACCGATTTTAAATTAGATATCAAAGACAAAAGCGAGTGTATATTTTACATTAAAAATCATTATTAATCATGTTCATTCTAGGAAGACAAAATGATTTTCTTTAAACCACAAAAAAAATAAATATGAAAATGTGTGAGAAAAAAGGTGAAGCTGTTGAGGATAACTCTTAAGTTGACAGAGATAAGGAAGTTTGTGAATGACTGATTACAGTGCCATCTCTAAAGCTTTTCAATCCTCCGAAGCCTTTGATCACTGATGCAGTCACTATCACAAAATAGGTGTTGCAATTCAATCCTCAAGTGATTCCTTGTAACATATGATGGAGGGGGAGTGGATTTCTCCACTGTAGCAGTTAACAGTTCAGGTGTGACAAGGGTCAGGATGGATATGGTTCACTACCCAGGTTATACACCATCCAATTCTGATCTTCACGATGACTTCTCTGCCATTGTGAGTCAATTCCATTTTCATTGCAGAAAGAACACATTATATTTGAATTATATCTTTTACGGAAATTGTTTAAAAAGGAAAAAAAATTAACAAAAACAGAAGTAATTTCTGAAAATCAGAAGCAATGTTTTCCTGGTCATCAAATGAACCAGATTATTTAATCTATGTGTATATAAATTTGGAACATAATATCTATATCGTTATAATTATTCATTTTTTAAAAAAATGTACACTTGTTGTGTACTGTATTTTTACAGAATACATCTGCCCTAAGCTTTTATACCAAAGGTTTTACGTATCATAAGCTATTTCCTTAAAATTCATCACTTTAACAAGATTTAATAAATCATTTCAATTGGTTCATGAAATTTGATATGGTGGAAGTTAAGAACAGTCCAAGAGCTTATGGTCGATCGGTTCATTTTGATTTTTTACATGAAATGAGATTGATTTTAAAATAAATTAGTACACTTACATCATAAATGATTTATTTCTTAAAGTTTCCATGATAAAAATCCTTTTAAAAAATATATTCAAATTCTAAACTATTCAAGAAATGGCTTTAAAAATTTTCTGATCCATTGACAAGCACAATTTTAAAATATCTTTTAATGTCTATGTTTCAGTTATACATAAAAAAGGTGTAATTTTTTCTCTATTTTTTTTTTGTGTAAATAAGTATAACATTGTTTTTGTTTTAGATACAATATTACAGTAACATACCAATACTAATGTTATCCCAATTGTATATCATTAAACCCAACAACAGTTTTTCTTTCTTTTTTTTCTAAATGACACATTCTGTAATAACCATTCTCAGCATTAACACACCAGGTATGTTTGTACAGTTCACCAATATAAAAACTAATGCAGCATTTTCTTTTATCATCTCTAAACATCAAACAATTTTTTATGATAATGGAGTTAAAAGAAAATTTTAAGATGTAATATAGCAGGTCTAGGTTTTCTATCTGTGTCCAGCAAAGTCTGCTCTATTTTTAATACATTTAGTTAGATAAAACATATTTTCTGTTGTCAGTACAGGTGACTTTTTTCACTTGTATAAAAAAAACTGCTTCACGTTGAACTAGGCTATTTTTCGCCAGGTTGTTACAGTGTCATATCTCACTATATAAAAGGACTTCACTCTGGACATGACTATTTGGTGTCGTTTTTGGGCCCTGACACAGGAATGTAGTGACTGAGTGAGATAGAGGGGACGGCTTGAGATACAGCCCTAAACAGTTTATACTGCCAACTCTGTCTCAGATCCCTCCACTACAAAGATATAATGGCCTGTAATCTCCGGTCGCCCGGAGCGAACCAGATATATTTTAGCTAATCAACTTCAAAGGATGTCGTATCTACTGAGATCGGGGACCCTAGGTGTGTCAATAACGACACTCCAGCCTTACCTGTATAACACAGGCTAGTGTTTGGCCGAACTTGGTACACTAGACTCGTTAAACAAGAGAAAGCAACAATGTATCTATGTGAACTTTGTAATACATTCTTCTATCTAATATACACCCAATTAATTATCTCTACACACCTGTGTCAATTAAAACACTAACACTGTCAATCACGTGGAAAATATGCGTGTTGGTATAACCATCGTTGGTAGTAAACAACACAGGTAGTCCACACCAGCCTTCTGGACACGTGCACGGTCCGTCAGACGTATCTCGTTGGAAATAAAACAAAACCATGATGTAAAACACGGCTGTAGCTTCGAAACACGGGTATGAGGGGGCAGGAGATGTGTTCACCCTAATGACAGTAGTCTCCAAACTTTTACAAACACCGAAACACTGGACCTGGTGTTGAAGTGATCCCTCTAATACACACTGTCACTCGATCAGCTTCCGTAGTGTGTGTGCGCTACCGGGGCACGGTTATGGAGGGTAATTCACACCCGTACACAGGTACATTCCCCCCGGGGACGGACTTACCTGTAAAACATTCCCCTCAGCACTGACGGTCGACCCTGCAGATGTGTAGTATCCAGACAGTCTCTCAGTTTCGATAGCGTACTCGCCATTTTCAGTGCCTCGATGTAACACTATTTCCAAAATAGCCTTTTCTTTAATACCCATGACCAACATGCAGAGAAGACTGAATATCAGTACTTCTCCATTCATCGTGAAACACATCGCTTCCTTCTTCGCGGCATATTTCGCAGGTATATCCCAAAAAATCCACAAAGAAGTTAAGCCACAACACACCTCTTGCCTTACGGAGCACTACAGCTCGTATGGCGGCATGCATCTAAAGAGTTTTCCAGTGTATATCACGTGACTTTGCCAGGGTTTCCCCGCCCACAGCGATCTTCGTATGAATAATTTATTGTGGATCTCCCAACGAAAGCGCCACCTACAGGTGTTTCCCTGTGTAAATGGATCAATACGTACATACATTTCGTGCCCTAAAAAGAAACATCAAAGTCTCGATTTCACCTGTGTAGTTTATACAGGTAACTCGGTGTATAGTAAACCTAATACATACAAAGAGTCTAACATAGCGGTTTAGCTGTGGGCCATTGTGATAGTTTCTTTTAGTGCGACCGGTTACATACCGATATTTACACTATAAGGAATTAACTTATTGTTACTTTGGTTATTGTTAAAGCTTGCCTTGTAACCATACCACGGAGAAAGCGAGAATTGATCTGACGACGACGAGGGTGATGATGCCTCCTGGCATAAATAACGTTTGTTACGACATCTTAGTCCGTAGTCATAGTTTAGGTGTCAGAAAGACAATATGATGGGAGATATGAGTTGGTATAATCCCTATAAGCTGCACACTTATTCAAATAATGGAGCTGAATTCGACAAGATTATATATCTTAATTAGTGAAATCTATGCAACATCATGACATGGTAGGCCAATTAGGACTATGTTCCAATTACGGCAAAAAATACCAACCCTTTACCTCTCTTAAACGGTAGTTCATCTGTACGATAAAACAATTAAGAATAATTAATTAATTTGCTTTGTTTATGGTATTTCTAACATTGAGGTTACGATCGTCATAACGATCTCATTGAGAAGCAGTCTGTTTGTATGATGCTCGTTAGTATGCCCGTGGTTTCATTGTTTTACTTGGTTTCTTCAAGCGGCCAAGATTTTCACAATGGGTGTCGTCAATGAAGCAGAGAACACCAACCCTCCCGGAACACCTGGTCTCATTTTTTCCTGTACTTTTTATATAGATTTTGCCCAAGTTGTTCTGTTAACAAGTCGATATTTTACGGATTGTTTTTTTTAATTATATTACATTAAGGACACGAACAATGCCATTTTCTGTAGTTTTAATTTCTATATTTACTTTAGTATAATGAATGTTCTGATCGTTAGATAGTAAGTAAAAACACTCATGACGTATATTGGTATGACTTACTAGTCTATAAATTAATCAGTATTGCGATATATGTTTATTATAATGTTTTAAAACGGTGACACGCAAGTCGTAACGTAGCTAACAAGTAAGTACGCATGCGGTGTTTCTATACAGGAGACCAGCTCTTTCTCTTCTAATTGCATGCATGAGCTGGGAAATATAATTATTGAAAAAATATTTGTTTTAAATTAGGTGATATACACGAAATGTTTCTTCAAAATCAGGAAATTATATTTGTTGCAGCTGTTTTTAATAATTAACCTATCGATACAATCTTTATGTGCTTACACATGAAATATACGCATTATTTGGTAAATCTGTTAAATTCTCTTGGTATGTTTTTTTTTCTTTTTCAGATACCATATATGTCTTTCATAACGCCTGTAAATGCCACTTAAAGATAGTTCGATATCAATACTTACATTTTCTGTTTATTTGCGTTTGATTTGATTTACTTAGTATTCTTTCACTGCCGAAAGAGTCAGAACGGTCACATGGGGTAATGGCATTCACTGTGTCACAAATGCCAACTTCTGTTTTTGTAGGTTGATGATATTAGTACATGTACCTAGCACATCTTTCTTGGCTTAGGAAAATACCAAACTTTTAATGTCCTTTCATAGCGTATGAGTACTGTAGGACTGTTTGTTGCCATTTTCTTTTCAGATTTTCGGGTTATTGTCTTGCAACGTCAAAAATCATGGAAGATTCTTGTGAGCATTTCCACGCCAAAAAAAAAAAAAAAAAACGCGAAACATTCTTGTGAACATTGCAACGTCAAAAAACAAGGAACATTCTTATGAACACTGCAACGTCAAAAAACACGGAACGTTCTTGTGAACATTGCAACGTCAAAAAACAAGGAACATTCTTGTGAACGCTGCAACGTCAAAAAACACGGAACATTCTTGTGAACACTGCAACGTCAAAAAACACGGAACATTCTTGTGAACAGTAACTTTCCGCGAGGACAAGTCGATTAAGGAAAACGTCTCTTTAATACTTGGCAAAGACAAAAATACACGATACAGCGCCAGTTATCAAACTAAACGTGATGTTTTGCTTTTCTGTTTGGAACCCATAAAACACATCTAATTGACATGTTTTCGCCTCAAAAGAAAAAAATTCTTTTTCTTTTGACGGTTTTCCTTTTACAATTTCTGAAAGGGAGGGTATGGAGAAGGGATGGGGTTACAGTCACGGGGCCGTTTTGCTCTTTTCTCTGTCTTCCTGTTGATGAAGTTCCATTACTCATAAATATAGCCTGTACTATAGGACGTCAGACAGAACCTCTCGTACCAGGTCGTATACAGTGATAGAAGGACGTCAGACTGAACCTCTCGGTACCAGGTCGTATACAGTGATAGAAGGACGTCAGACAGAACCTCTCGGTACTAAGTCGTATACAGTGATAGGCGGACGCCAGACAGAACCTCTCGGTACTAAGTCGTATACAGTGATAGAAGGACGCCAGACTTTGCTTCGTACGTAACTAGGAGGTACAGTCGCAATCTCTTTCAGAGTGCATTACGGTGTATTGCGACTGTAGGGAACGGCATGAGATTGATTCTGTAACAGAAGGACTTAGAATGGACATTTCGGGACAGTGGACATCTTTACGAACAGGATCGACTTCTTATGTATTGTATAGTTCGGATGGTTTAACACACTGAATCTAGTTATTTAATTCCAAAGCATGCTCGAATTCCCACGAAGTTTCACTGATGACTGCTCGGCCGTATTGACGTTCAGTGGCGGGGAAATATCCGCCTGAGCTGAGGACGGCGGGGTGGACTTTGACGGCCCTAGCTGTTCACGGACATTGTGTTCCTCCGGCGCTCCTGCTGGGCATCCTGAATATATTTAGAACTGATCTATACGTATGAAATATATTTTTTCGCATGAAATATTGTGCAATACTGTAGTTATGCGTGAATTGAGAAACTGATTATTGTATCTTTGGCTAGTCACGATTACCAGGACCAATTCAACCACGGAGACTCATGTCATTATTGGTGTCTTAGACATACAATTGTATTGAGATAGAAAGTCTTTGATCAGTATATAAGCTATTATTTGATATCAATATCTATTAAACTATTTAATGCCTAGAATTCCAAAATCACGGCCAGGGTGTAAGTTTCGTGAATAACGTGGTAGATTAAGTAAAGATTTTTCAAACTGCTGACCGTGAGCTGGAAGTTCATGTATAAGAGAAATCATCTTCTTGAATCGAAGGATTATACAAATAACAAACTGAGGTGAATAGTACCTTTAAGTGTTAATTTAGTAAAAAAAATACATGACGGAAGCTTGTCAAGCTCCAAGTTGACACTGAATGCTTGATATCCGGCCTGACCGGAAACGAAAGTGAAAGTCGTTGGATCTCCAATCTGACCGGAATCGAAAATCTCCCTTGAAACTTTTATGGATGTCCAGCTTGACATGAATAATGTCATTTTTAACGCATCTCGAGGACAAAAAAAACCCTAAAAGACATTGACCTTAGGGGTAAGATTGTGAAATGCCCAAACGAAGGGTATGCTTACAGCATTTTAAAATTTTTATATCAGGGTTGTGTTCTGACTCTCAGGGTCGGCAATGATTATTTTTCTCTCGTGTTTTGTGTAGCGTGAATTTCTGTGTTCAATGTATTTGTCGACAATTACGTCGTTACATTTAGACGGCAATGTAGAAGTATTGTTATGAGACTAGCCACTGAACAAAGTACATTGACACTAATTCAATACTCAATGGAAATCGCCAACGTTTAACGATTATATTGACAGAGCAGTTTGTATATCAGAAGATTCCATTTTCACTTGTCCCATAAATATTTCTGTGCTTCCGGTGCGCCCTAGGACGTGGAAATTTTGTAAACACGAAATGATAAATATTGCTGTCTGAGATGAGAGAGCTGACTTCCGGTGTGAATATTTGTCAGATGCCTGATTTGGCCAAATGTTTAAGTACGTGTTTCAAGATTATGGTTTGTCATATGTCCAGCTACACAGTAAATTGTCAGTCAGTTCGTGTGATTCCTTCCAGCATTAGAGGAAAATCATTAAAACGCAATTCCAGCGCATTATTTTTTTTTGCGGGTTTAGGGAAATGTTTGTGATATGTATACCAAATATATATGTATGAATAATGCCATGATTAAATCTTACAAAAGGAGAAAATATGAAATATATATCAACGTGATGAAGTTACGAATGTGTTTATATCTACTTGAACTCCGATATTGAAAGTAAAAATATACTATCATACTATCAACAAACTGAGTACTTAGTATTTATATGATATCTCTTCGTATGTTCATGATAATTCTGTCGGTCCACATTCGTCTGTGTTTTCTATTATGTCTGACAAACCTCCATCTAACACCTTTGTCTGGCGGGTCCTGGTTTAATGTTATTTGGCATCCGTTTGGAGTTCTGTTTTGCATTCCTGTGTTTTTGTGCTGTCTTTTGGAGGTTTGCTTTTCATTCCTACGTTTCATTGCCATCTGACGTCCGTAAGGAGCTTTGTCTTACATTCCTATGTTTCATTGCTGTCTGACGTCCGTTAGGAGCTTTGTCTTACATTCCTGTTTCATTGCTGCCTGATGTCTGTTTGGAGCTTTGTCTTACATTCCTATGTTTCATTGCTGTCTGACGTCCGTTAGGAGCTTTGTCTTACATTCCTACGTTTCATTGCTGTTTGACGTCCGTTAGGAGCTTTGTCTTACATTCCTACGTTTCATTGCTGTCTGACGTCCGTTAGGAGCTTTGTCTTACAT